GCGATGAAATTATATTTTGCAATATTGTTTGACGCAGTATTATATAAATATGTCTGTGTACAAAATACGACCACACAAACTGACACATTTTACATTTACAGTAAATCGCCAACGGAACGTCTTTATCCATAAAAAGGCAGTACTCATAATCAGGTTAAGATTTTTAACGAGGTCGAGCATCTATAAAATCAACCAATTTGTCATAATTTTACGGTTCACACAAACTCGTTAGAATATAACATGGTGATGACAGTTTGTTTACATTCAAACTATCACATAAACAATCTTCAAAATAATCCAAAACGACATAAAAATAAAATGGGAATTAGAATCCGGTTATGCTATCTGATTGATTCAGTCGCATCGTATTTCCATTCAAATTCGGATGACTCTTTTATCGTCTAGTGGCGTCCATATTTGGTAATTTAATCAAACTCGTGGAACTACAGATAGATCATAATTGATATAATGTTGAACTGTAATTAATTACCCCGGCAAGTTACGAGTTCACCGTCAGTTCCATGTTCAAATTACTACTACGAATGGAGATAAGAAAAATTTTTGTGCAACTAAAATCTAAACGTTAATTTTATACGACTTATAATAAATATCATCATATGTAGTTATTTTTCTGTGTACAATAGTCGTATAAATGCATTTTTGCCACCACGTTCAGAACGGTTCCATTTTAGGACATCGCTGACTACATTAACAATTTTTGAGGCAGAAAAAAACATGTATGTTATTTTAATGATTTTCATATGGTTTTGCCAAGAATAATCGACCGTTTCGAATTTAAACCCGCCTATCGTCTACGACTGAGCTTATGCATATGAGTGTTTGTATATTTTGCCTCAAGTTTCACAATGTTGTGATTACAGTTGAAATGCCCGTGTACAACGTTCTATTTACCACATGTATAGTTTACAGCTCTTCGGGTCATGGTGACTGGGACAGCTTTTGAGATGTTATATCATATTGTCTTAAAGTGTCATTAGCATAAAAAAATAAGTATTAAACGATTCGGATGTAAGTGTCAATCTGAAGGACAGGTAGTTGCATACAACAAGCGTTGCCAAACATAACATAGACCGGAAAGCGTATGTCTTTCACCTGATGAAAAAATACTTTTACTAAACAAATCACAACTCTGATGTCCCTAGTACTCACGGCAAATGAAATATTCTGTATCAGGAACGCACATTTAGGTTGTATCTCTCTTGATAACTGGTGATTTCAAATAACGTTATCATTCTACTAATGTAACTAAATTGAGATTTTCCATTCAACATCAGGATTTATTTATTATACTAGTAAATGTAGTGCTCCCGGCTTGAATTTAATGTATATACATATATGTAATATACATTATACATATATATGTACGATAAAAAATATGCCGTACGCCAATAATGGTACCACGAATATAAATTAATTAAATGATGGATGATTATTTTTTATTTTAATAATTAACATTGTTGATTTAATGTCAGTCTCATCCATTACATCTTCTTAATACAAATTATAATATGTTTCTAATATCCCGCTGTCGTTCGAGCGTAGTTGGTTAGCTGCTATTTAATCAAAATATATTATAATGCCATCCTTATCAATTATCCAACTACTGTTTGGAATAATATTAATACAATTCCTGTGGAAGAGGTATAAACTTCTTATAATTTAACCCATAAATAATAAGGTAATGTAACGAATATATAAACACTATATACTTACAATTTATGATACAAACAATAAGTATATTATTTTAAATAGAATTTCTAACTAAGTAAATTACATGTGATATTATTCAGTAAATACGCCGTCATAAATAATGTAAAACTAACGTCGGACAAATACAATGTACAAATGTATTTACTATACCATCATTATTAAAAGCAAATTTATTGATTTAATCATATGATAAACCGATACGCTTACTAAAATATTAACTAAATATTTTTAATAATAAAAATTTTTTTCAAAACTTCGAAATAGCTACCTTTTACACTATTCTTACAAAAATAATTAATGATTAGATATTAATTTTAGGACAAATGCTAATTGAGTTACAAACATTTTAATACACAGAGTAGTTATTCATTATAAATAATAAGCACAGATGGTGTATGCATTAAGAATGTACACCAGTACAATCGTACCCACTAGAGATACATACAAATGCTTGTTACTTAAATAGTACTATTTCTAAACTTAAATTTGCTATCGTAACCATTAACAATTCAAAAATGTAAAATTAGTTTTTTTTCCGTATTAGTGATAAATATAAAAAAAATCGACGAAATAATAATTGGATCAAAATTTATATGCGTTGACTGATACATTCTATATATTTCATTTTACATTATTTTTTAGTAGTGCGGATTACAACGGAAACCTAGCGGCGTCGAGAGTGGAATATTGTATTAAACGATTAAAGATACACTATACACGTTGCAGTAGCCATAGGGTTTGACCACTGATAATAATAATAGATTTTTGTACATTCTTGACACACCCTATAATAAAGTTGTTGTATATCATCTAAAATGTGTTGACAAGTAAATTGACTTTAAACACTGTTCTTTAGAACTTTACATTAAAAACCCATGAGCGTTTATATTCGACACTAAACTAATATATTATATTTTTTATTTCGCTTTAACTTTCAATGTTCTATTGTATTTTTCGATAACCCTAATGACAAGGAAACGTTTTTAAAACATTAAAACTTTTTAAATTTAATCATTGTAAAAGAAACGTTTAAAACTTATTTTTCCATTAATTCCTGTTAACTAATTTTTTTACGTTTTAAAAAGTAATTTTTATATTTATCGTATTACCACGATTGAAAACCTAACCCAACACAACCGTTATCACATATTGATTATAAATATACAGTTTGGTTACCATTGTTGGTTATACTGTGTGAGAGCGCGTTGGGTTCGACTCGCTCCGACAGTAATATTTTGGACTGCACTAGAATAGTCGAAAGTATTTGAGCCAAAAATGATTTCATCTGAAAAATATTTATCAAAAGTACCCAAGTTGAAAAATAATGGTTGAAAATATTTTTCTTTTTAAAGGGATAACCCTCCCTTATTACCCCCAAAACTATAACCAAGGTAACAATAAATTACTAGATTTTCAAGTCAATCAATGATAACTTACACTGGCTGATGTCGTGTTCCGAATAATATAACAAAATGTATTAGAAGCATATATTCCGTTCCCTAATATATATTTGTATAAAATGTTTATTTTTCAATGTTAAACGCTACTTACACACTATCTAAGAAAGGTATTTTTCTCAGTATTCGGTTTACACAAAGAGTTTATTACAAGATGTGGAAAATATATCCCATATGGTCACCGATTACATAAGCACCCGCACGTGCTCACTTTTTAAACTTTTTTAAGCTAACATCTGAATTGGAAATTTTAAGCACTATGATGTATTTGTGTATTTTTGAACCGAGTACAGTTCTGAAAATTATCGCTCTCCGTTCATTTGACAAACGATCTCGTATCGAGTCCGGCAGAATACTACAACACTATTACGTGTATATTTGACCTTTGTCAGCCGTTTGACCTCAACATACGTCAATACTCCCTCGAGATACTTAACGAACCACATTGAAAAAACGTGTCGATTTGTAAAACCCTATGTCGTACAAGTGTACAGAGACATCAATCGCTGTAAAAGCGATTACGATAAATATTAAAAATTTGTTCAGAATGAGATGAAGTGCGATCAATATTTGCGGTCGAAACATATTTTTCTTGGCGTATCACGACGTGCGCATTTTTTCCCGATGGTTTTTGTGCTGGTAAACTAATCTATCTGTCATTAAAGTCGCTCCCTCCATACCATAGACACTTTTACTTACCTTCGAAAACTAATTGAAACCAATTGTGTGCGCAGACCACACCTATAGAGCACGACATTCATCATCGTCATCCGGTTAGAGAGTCTAGATTATCGACCGGCGTATAAGTTCGCCTTATCTTTTTAAATCGTCCAACTGGACTAAATCGTTTATTAAAATGTCTCCGACAGATCTTTGAACTTTCCGGACATAGTGTAACAAGTTTTACTGTTATAAAATAAAAATCTACAATGACACACATGACGCCTTAGAAGTCTTCAATTTGAGCCGTACAATTTTGTAGCGATTAATTATAATTGAACCACGAAGATAAATAGTTGATGAATAAATCATTTTATAAAATTCAAATTATAGAGGACGTATGAAATATTTGTTTTTCAAATTGTTTCGTTTCATTATGTAAAAATATTTTAAATTAATAGAAATAATAATTTATTTTTAAAACATTAAAAGTTTGTTTACTCCTGTGATTTGTGGAATTCTTCATTAATTTATCAACGGCTGCATTATTGCCAATAAAGTCGCAGTTAAAAAAAAAAATGTTAAACCTAATACTCTGTTATGATTAACATAATAATTAAATTAAAATAAAAGCGAGACACATTACTTTTACACTTAGATAATCACAGTTGAATTTTATTTAATCAGATAAAATAGATTTATTATTTGTTTTTCACACTTTTCGATTTATCGTACATCAATTACATACTTATATATTACACAATATCTTCATTAACATCTTACCGGAAATATCTAATTCATTGAACCTATTTTCCATCAAAAAATAAACGAGTTTTTATAAGGTATACATAAATACACGCATACACGCAAACATAAATTGTATGTTTGAATAATAATTTAGTTTGAATATATTAATTAATTAATTGTCTTAGCAAAAACATTTACGTAAACCATAAATTTCAATGTTACATGATAATTTTTTTTTTTTTTTGAAAAAAAACGCATAATTCTGATCAAAGGTTGACGTGTTACTGAAAGCGTTTAAATAACTGCATTATCTTGAATTAAAATCAAATAAATTCATTTTTTATTGTTGAATAAACATAAGGTAACGTAAATAATCTCTAGTTACAAGGAAAGGAATTTGTTTAGTGTACGAATAGCTTGTTACATTATACTAGTTTGCTATTCTGCTGATTTAGTTCCAATTAGGGACGTAGTCAGGTAATATAGAGATAATAGTTACCCCCCCCCTCCACAAAAAAATGAAATACACGGTGAAACTAACATTTAATTTTTTTTAATTGGAATAAAGTAGTCAACAAATTTTTTGATGTCCCTTTCCATAAAAAAACCTAATTATATCTCTGATTTAAATTTTCTTTATATTGTTATTTTCTTCTCAACTTATAGTGATTGTATGACCTCTGCATAAGAAAATAGTAAAACAAAATAAGAGTAATTATGGTTATTTATTTTTTCCTGTGTCTCCTAAAATAATAGGGTAACTACCTTATTAATGTCGAATAGCTACATATTGACCGGAACCATAAATAAGTTGTTGAATCCGGCGTTTTACTAAAAGTATTAATAATGATGAAAAAATAGAATCCTTTAGACGATAAATTCAACATTAATGACAGACCTCCGGGTATTTTGAGATTTTACAGATCAATACTGTACTATGGAAACGATTTTGTCGTTTTAATTTTACTACTGGATAACTCGCTGATAAAATATTGTATTAAAATCGAGAATATGGACATGTACTTATTCTTTTGTTGATTTTACATTATCATACTCAACAATGGTCAAAAACTAACAATAACCGCACCTGTAACCAAAAAGAAATCAATTCAAATATCAGTTTACTAAAATAAACATTTATTTGAGTATTATCTTTTTTTTTTTTTCTGTAGTCTTTTCTTGACTTAATCGTATTATATTAAAAACAATTATTTATTGTGTATTATGATTATTGATTTATTATTTGTTAATACATTTATAGAGATTAATTATCTTCAATAATGACAATAATAATAACTACTAAATGTTTGATTGATATGAGTATCATACGTGGTAAATAATACACAATAATTATCGTCCAATATTATTAGAAGGTTATAATACTTGAATTAAACTTTCCTCATTTATCGTATGATAAATATTATTTCTTCATATTAATATACTCACTACGTTTATACTAATGTTTCTATATAATTCAATTTGCATGTTAAATATTTTCTTGAATACAGAAACATGAAAATAAAATTTATGTAAAAAGTTGTTCAATGTTAATATTTAAAATTTGTGTGATTATAATTCCGTAATTCACAAATTTTATTGGCTATCCAAACTGGTTATCTGGTTTTTTATTGGTTATTTACATTGTAAAACTTATTGTTTAAAGAATTTTAAATTAAAAAATAATTAAGTAAACTAACAATTCTTTATTGAAACCTGTAAAATTTCTAGTAATATTTTTTAATTATAAACATATTTTTTATTTCGAAAAGCTAAAAAGGTCTTAGTTATTTTCACCTGTCACCATTTTTTCTCGGCTTCTACTAAACCGATAAATTGACAAATATTAAGTCAAAAGATTTGAAATTTGGAGAGAGTTACCTAATTTTAGACCCGTGACATATCTATCCATTATCATGATTCTTTTAACTGCAGACTCAGAGGTTTGGCCATGGGATAAACTATTGAATCTGTTCTTTACTTAAAATGCAAGTAAAAAATTAATTTCCGCAACGATTGCCAATCCGTCTCGATTCTATTCTCTGATCAGAGCTAGTACATCTAAATTGTTCAAAAGAAATTATTCGCTCTCTTTTTGAAAAGGAACTTGACTGAAAACAGTTTTTCATAACCATGAAAAATGCCAATTAGTATTACATATCTAAATATAATTTTTACGTTTGTTATATAAACTTAAATTGGTTAAAATTGCGTTTTTAATTTTGTAGTTAGAGGTGGTAACCCGTTTAAATTGACACTATGATTTATATTAAGTACACTAGTACCATTTGTATTTTTATGAATTTTCTAGCATAAATTTACCACAAAAAAAAATTAATTTTTATGATTTGAAAATAAATGTACTTAAGTTTAATATAATACAAATATTATACTTAATGTTAATTTATAAATAGTGAAGCTTGAAAGCTTTAAAATAACTTTATATGTGATAACATAATAATTTCATTTTTAATGAAATGAATAATGATTTTTCCAATTATATAAATAAAACAAATTTAATATATTAAATTTACATTTTATTTTTATTTTTAAGCACTCATATTAAGTCATCTTTTTTATCATGGGTCTTCTTAAAGACTAGTTGACCACCTTTGCAGGTTGCATCTCAAAATACGTCGATCGCGTATAGATTTGTAGTCAGAAAGACAAAGGTCACTATTTATCCGTTGAGGGTAGGAGATTTGGTTTGCGTTATGCTTAGATTTCTGTATGTTTACACATCAAGGAACTAACAGCAACAGCGCAGATGAACATTAGTGCTAAGGCAGCAACTGATGGTCCACTGCGTCACACCAATACCTATTAGGAGGACCATATTATTAATTATTTCTAGGACCTATAAATTTATTTCCAAAACTTTTTTTTTTTGGCTTATCACAAAAAAAGTTATTTTTGCTGTGATGTTTTTTTTCTGCTTTTGTAGCATTTTAAGAGCAATAGCAGCCTTCCTCGAGGAGAGGGTTTCTTGATCATGGATAGTCCTAGACGGGTTTGTCGCCGGAGAGAGGCAATTTCTGGACTGCAATTACTGTACTTATCTCTCAGCAAACGGAGCCACCTGTCAACTGGTCTTAAAACTAAGACACAGAACTTTATTGCTTAATTGTTGATAGAAATTAGTGGAAGGTACTAACAAATTTATAACAACTGTAATTAAAAATAAAAACTAATATTAGTACACTATAATGTACTATAGTAACCTTAATTAATTTATATTAGCCTTCATATTTAACCTTAAATTTTCATTGTTTTAACAAGAAGTTCAATAATTTTTTTTTACAAATGTGTTTTATTTTTTAATCAATATTTCTATATTTTTTAAAGGATGCTAAGTATAATGCGATACTTCCTTTTGAAAATTGAACCAAAGAAGTAGTTTCATACACTTTTTCTCATTAAGCTCTTACGATAAAGTCAATATAAAATATTTTTTAGGAGACTTATCAAGATGAGTTTTATTGTAAACGAAAAAATAAATCTTTTTCTTGTTCGGCCAAAGAATTCCTTGTTTTAGAAATATTCTTATACTTAAAAAATCTTTCATTACAAATATTCCTTACAATTAAATTTCCTACAAACTTCGTTCAATATTGTTTTTTGTTTGCAACTCGTTTTATTATATGAAGGATTGTATAATTTTACAATACCAATAGATTTATATTCTGTATAAACATCTTGATTTAGGAAGAACCAATAGTAAGATTAACTTATAAACAACTTCTAGTTATGAGCTATCAATTGTGTTTGTTTATTAAAATATCATCAAATGATGTTTATTTTATGTTAAGAGGTCCGTACTTCAATAACGTTTTAAAAGCATGAGTCATTATTAATTATTAAATATAACAGTAAAAAAATGGAAATCCAATATTTCAATAATCAACTTCTTTGCAGAATATTAATTGGGATGGAACTCAAGCTGAACTAGTTCTATCTTTAACTCTTCTCAAGTACTAAATTTTTAGTATACTTTATGATGTTTTCTTATCAAGTAAAATAAGAAAATGTTTCTCAAATGTAGTTTGCTTTGAAATGTAGTTAAATATAAATTTAGTCATACTCGGTATAACAGTGATTCCATTAAGTGCTTTGTTATGTTTAAAATACATAATATAACTTGGCGGACAGTTTATATTTTCTTTAAATCTGTATAATAAATATAAAACAACTCGTCCATCCTTTTATTACAATTGCCGCTTTAATAAAACAATTAAAACAAATATATCGAAACAAGATAAACTCACGTAAAGGTGCTAAGGAAATGCCATCAAGTGTTGTTGAACAAATAATTACGTTTTACTTGTACAATATTTCATCCATCGAAATAAAAGTTAATTGCTATAGTAATTTTATGAATAGTCTTAGTGTGCTTACTATGTATTTAATATTATTTAAATGAACTACAACAGAACATTTACTTTTATGAATATATACATATCAATTTTCATGGCGTCGTTCTCTCTTTTTTCTGACGTTATTGAAAACCATTAAAATAAAAAAAACTTTTGAAAAAATGTACTCCTACTACGCAGCGGTAAAAACAATATTGCGAAGCCTCTTGTCGATTACTCATTCGAACAAAGTCAATGGAAGACCATCGTAAAATAATAACAGTCGATTGAAAACCAACTGCAATTGCTAATGGCTAAAATTGGAACGTTGAATTGGGACTGTTTCGGTTGAATTTCTAAAATATTTTTTAGAAAGAGCTACGACGATTGAGGATATTAACTTTTTACTACTAACGGTCATAACATTGCGGTGTACAGAGCAATGTCGTGAAAACCCGCAGCAGCGAATGTGTGAGATTCCCACAAAGTATATCGAGTACGGGACGGGCGAGACGGACGTCGTGTGAGAAACAGAGATAGACAGCGAAGCGTACGGTATTTGAATGGGATATATGGTACCGAACGGGTGGCAGTACATCAAGCAGTGGCACATACACACACACAATATAATAACAATAATGATAATGATGATAATCGGTCGAGAAAAGGTACACGCGAGAAGAGGACAACAAGGCGGGTTAACCGAATTATTCACTCGGTCGTGCATAATGCATGAAGATGACGAGTGGTCGACACTTTACCGGCACGGCGGTGGTGTGAATAGCTGCCACTTTCGGATATTTACAAAATGTATGGTCGGGACGTGGCGTGCGGAGAGGTGAACGAACACAACGTCGCGGCGGGACGAACGCCGTTAGAAGGAATAATATAACAACATATTCACTGTTTGTGCTCGCAGTTACGATGATTATTATTATTATTATTATAGACAAACAGACAGACAAATGGACTCCGCATTGTGTTTTGACGTGAGTGAATCGAAAAAGTGCTCGATGACTGCACGGTGAACACTCGTGGGATAATCCTGTGCAGCACGCGGTTTGTTACAAGACCGGAGAAATTGCCGGCAGACGACGACCTGCCGAGACTAGGCACATTGAACAAATAAAAAAACTGCATCACATTGAGTAAGCGAAATCGAGTGACGGTATATGGAAAATAACACGATGAACAATTTTTTGTCGAAAATTGTTGTTTATTTAATTTATGCGTTGAAAAATAAAATAACATTTTCAGTGATAACAACCGACTTATCCCTTGGGGGATTATTGAATATGTTCGACAATAACGAAACACGTCTAATACGTTCAATTTTTTCTGTTTTTCAAATAACTACTGTAGAAAAACTGTCTGTAATAAAATACAATTTAATTACACCTAAATATTTTTCTTTCTCAACACAATTGTTCGGTTACACTTGTCCACTAATCAATAGATTCATTTACCAATAAAGTCGGCATCCGAAATAAACAAGTATATTGAAATCTGAGGGGTAGTTAAGGTCACTACTGAACATAGTTTCGGTGCGAATGTGCTTGGAGGTAACTAGATAATTTTATCTTTCTCCAACTGTTAAAATTTTAAAATTAAATTAAATTATAGTAAGTGTAAGCCATAGACATAACTGCAACGAACCTTTTGTCCAAATTACCTTTTATCTAAAAATATAACAAGTTCGTTATAACTACTAAATAGAAGAAAAGTTGACAATGAAAAGTATACCACATGTTTAATGTGAACTCGTGTGGTGGGATATTAACCAATTCATAAAACCTCTATTGGACTAAAAAGAAAGTTTACACTTATGTTTTCATTAATAGAGAGTTAGTTCATATACCGGTATTAATGCTGGGAAATTCTGGATAAAAACTATAACATATTTTATCTTAGCTAAATGACTTTTTAATTTTTTATCTAAACTTCATCTAAGATAGGTTTTTTGTTGTCTAAATCACAAACATCTAGATATTTTATTAAACTACGGATAAGGAGAAGTCCAGTATTTAGAATTTATTGATATTTTCCAAAAATTATTTTGTAATATTTCATACTTGTTTAATAATATTCATACGAGTATAATCTTAATCAATATAACTGTCACTTATAGATAAATCGATAAACAAAAATATATCGTGGTGGTCTTTTTTGTTTAATAACCGATTTTCTATAGATTTTCATGTCATAAAAGTCGGATTATTGTGATGATATTTATACACCAAATAGTGAGTCATAAATAATTACATTGCTAAAAATACAATATAAGAAAGCAGGTGTTTTTGATTTTTTTATTTTACCAACTTGTTTTGAATCCCTACTAATAAGCGTTGTACTTAAATGAAATCATTGAACAATAACATTGTCATTACATCAATATGAGTTTAAACAATATTATCTAAGTTTAAAAAGTTAAGCGCAGTCAGAAACATAGTGCAGTTGAGGCGTTGTTTTAGATAAACGTTGATTGATGGCTGAAAACGATTAAAATCGCTGTCATTTTGATACAAATTAAAAACAATTCATCATATTTACCAAAAATTTCGTGATTTTTGAGACCGATTAGTCATAGAGCTCAAGTTGTGGCAATATATTTCCTATTCTAACTGTATAGTGTACAATAAACCTTAAATTTAATTTAGTTTTAAATGATGTAGATGTGTCCGTTGCTATAAAAAACACTAAAATCAGCCATTTTTACCAAAAAATGTATGATTTTTGGCTCTAATGACCAATGAAATTTGATTTATTTTTATGAACCATAGTAAATATCAAGTTTATTGTAAACAAAAAATTTCAAACGGTAGTTTTTAGGAGTAACTTTTAAAAATTAAATAGGAGATATTTTTTTTTACAATTAAAGACTCAAGAATCCGAAGATTTCCATAAAATGAAATTGCGTCGTTTGAGGTAATAATTTGCAAATCAACACCTACACATATCAAACAAGTTGATGTACATAGGTGTTAATCGAGAAGAAGCGCTTAACCCTCCAAAAAATTATATTTATTTATATATATATATAATAAAATAGAATAGGGAATAATCAATTTAGCCCTTTCAAATTTTTTCATATATTTACGCCTATAATGATGTAGATGTATTAATTCACAAAATAAATTTTGTCTAGTACTAAAATAAAATAAAAAAAACCCAGCACAGGGGGGTCGCGGCACAGTGGTGACGTGGCATAGTTGGATCAAGTATAATGATATCTGTTAGTGATTAAAATCACTATCAAAAAAAAACGCTTCGATGCAAATCTTTAGATAGTGTTTAATTTTAAAAAATTGGTGGATTATTCCAAAAGCTTCATAAACTGCTAGTTCCTTATTAATATCCTGATTAAGATAAAGTATGTTGAATGAAAAAGGGATTATTAAAAAATAGTATTTCCCATAAAAAAATTATATTGATCAATACACATTTCAATAAGTTATAGCATTATAAAGTTAAAAATGTAAAAAATAAAATCGAAAATTTTCACACAAAAATAGCATTCGGTTGCCGTTTTCACCATGAAGATAAAATAAAGTCCGAAATTTTTTTTTACCATAATAAAGTATATTACATTAGCTTTAATTTAAGATATATATAAAAGTGTCAGACCTTCCGGAACATTTTCAAAAGTTAAGTTGAAAAAGTTAATTTTTTTTGAAAAAGTTGTCATTTTAAATCCCCCCTTGTGGGCAGGTTAAGGGTTAAATTTATGAAAAAAATATACCAAACGAAAAGTAATGATATTACACATCTATATAAAAAAGAATTATATTGATATGTTCATTTTTGAAAAAGTTACGGCACATTTAAGCAAAAAAAATTGAAAAAATTTCGAAAATTAGCGATTTTTAAATTACGGGGAACGAGGGAATTTTTTTCAATTTTTGAGGGTAATGTCTTCGACTAGATACGATTTGTGATCTTTTGACGTATCATTGAAAGATATCAGTTCGGTGAGAGTTGAGAAAAAGTGGTAACAGACAAAAAAAAAAAAAAAAAAACACATCTTAGTAAAACCAATTCTAAACCTTCTCAGCTTCGCATCGAAGCTAAAATATACTAAACCAATTATGAAATGGTTTACCAAATTATTTTAAATACGTCATAAAAAAAACTGAAGGTTGACCTAAATAAATATACGTTTAAATAATTTTATTTCTAATATGTTTAAATTTATTTTAAAGATCTAATTTTTTTAACATTTCATAAATGTTAAGTGATAATGTTTTCGGGAAACAAAAACACCATAGCAGTAATGTTTTATAATTTAGAACTTAGAAAAACAATTATGACCTTTGTATCTTGAAGTCAATGTACGTCTTGTATGAAGGAACTAGTACATAGAAGATACATTAAAACAGTATAATTAAATAGATAAATAATATCAATGAGAAATGTAATGTACTGCTCATATTACGAAGCTTAAACATACCAAACAAAACCAAAACTCTAACGCCAGTCAAATGTCATTCTGTCTAAAAAAATATCCTGTTATTTGCACCAAAAAAAAATTAACTCGTGCCTATAGGTATAAAACGATTTAAAAATGCATACAAAACGTTTATCATTCGAATTAACCGATGTCCTCGTCTGACCATATGGTGTGCACGGTTTGGTGTTACTTTTTAATCATAATAAAATACACTCAAAAACGACGAGTACCTTTGTGTTAAACGTCCTTATACGAATAATACCAGTATAGATATATAATAATATTGTTACTGTTATTATTATAACTCATACAAAACACACAGGAGACATTTCATATAATACGAAGATGCGACATTAGTGTTATGTCGCCACTCGCATGTGTGTTTACATTATACTAGTGAAATTTGTTCTTAGCTCAAGATGACTCGTTCGTTTTTTATAATTTTGATTATTATACATTTCTTTTTTGTTTAACAAAAGACCGTACGCGCGCGGACTCTCTTCTTCTCCTGCGCCTTCCCCTCTTCCCGTGTCGGACAACGGTGGCGGCAACCGTGTCGACAGCGACAACTTAGTGCCGTGTGTA